TATATATATATATATATATATATATATATATATATATATACATATATATATATATATATATGTTCATCATGTGAAAATATTGCCGCCCGTATGTGAATTTCAGATTAGTTTAGCGTTTAGCTGAGGAATAAATGATGCACGTTGTGAATAGAAAGCCATCATCCACCTCATCTGAACAGCGGCTCTTCTCAAAAGGTCAAATATTTTTGCTGACATGTCGACAGGACTGTTTAAAGTCATCACCTCTTTTGTATTTGCCTGTTAGCTCAAATTGTGGATTTGTGGTCTCTTTATCTTGCAATATCCTGTTTCTGCTGACTTCCCGTGCCTATCGCTCCGCACACTTCAGTATGTTTGTGCTCGCGTTTGTTTATGCCACCTGTCTCTGGTCCAGCCTCTCGATGCTGGCGTTCGCTCCGTAGGCGTGGCACGACTCCACCGTGTAGTCGGAGCTGAGGCCCAGCACGGAGCAGGAGTCGCCGCATGAACCGTCGGCCACCACGATCACACGTGGCCACTCTTCGGCTGGGATGCGCCGCAGATAATCCTGGGAGAACTGGAGAAAAAAACACAATGGAATCACCGCTGATGTCATCAAAGGCAAGAACTTAAAAATTCAGCCGTTGCTCTGTCACGTTCTACCAACAACGAGCCAACCTTCTCTATCTCTCTCCTGTGGTTGAGAGGAAATAAATGTCATCTGTGCTGTATGTTGCACATAGAGCACATTTGACAATCAAGTTGACTTGACTTGAAACCTTAGCTCCTCCCTCCAATATAGCTAATAATGAACATGGCATACCTCCTTGACCCCAATATCGTCTCACTTAAGTGTTCTTGGGAAAAATAGTAGGTATTCGTGGAGGGAAGTAGAAGGTGAGGGACTAAGTGGTGTGAGGCTGAAAGAGAGAAATAACGGCAGCTGGAACGGCTCACAGTCATGGCATTCAAGGCAGCGTCGAGAGGGAACCCTTTAAAACAGGGGTCCCCAACCTTTTTTGCCCCACGGACCGGTTTAAGTCAGAAAATATTTTCAGGGACAAATAGGTGTTACCAAGCTACTGTATATTGCATTTTATGGTAAGTCATGTTATAGTGGAATAGAGTTGGAGCTCTGATTCCCTGCAGATGACACAAGTGTGTGTCTCAGTGACGCTCATCGACTTCTCTCAGATTTCTTTGACACCATGACGCCAGATGGCAATAAGCACACTTTTATCTGAACAAAACTCCTCAACATATTTCCTCTGAGCCAAGATTCCACAAGATGGCGGGAAAGCACTAGTTTTGTCTGAATAAAGCTCATTGACTCACTTGAACAACAATACAGTGAGCACAAAAGTAGGAAACAGCAAATAACAAAATGTGATTGTGAAAATGTGAGGGAACACTGTATGGAATTGAGCCCCCACTATTTTGTAGGCATAAGAACCAAGCCCAATCACAAAAAGTGCGAATCCACAATTATTAATGCACCATCAAAAATGTTTGTTACTGCCTAGAGATAACACAACATGGCAACAAAATAATACTTATTTCTAAATGCATGAAATGTTTGTCTCAGCTCAACATACTTCCTTGACACCAAGATTTTGATATGTTTAAACTAATAAAACAAAAACTGCTCTCTCTAGCGCCAACTTAAACATAATGCAGATGGGTCTGCAATGTATCCTCCTGATGAAGCGGGGTTCGCTGTTTGTGCTGGTATTGCAACCCAACTTTTATTTTATTTTTTATTTTTTAACTTAAGACTCTCTTCTTTTTCTTGCAAAGTCATCGGCGCCAAGGCGGAATGTGGACGTGTGGACGTACAACAAGGTCATGTGCGGGTTTAGATTGCAAGCATTGCTGTTTAATGAGGCGGAGAGCGGGATAAAAACAAGAAGTCTCTGTTCTGCAGCCATGACACAAATATTCAATGAGCATTCAATCACTCTTTGCACACACTCTTTGCATACATAGTCTAGGCATACATGCCAACTCTCTTATTTCTTCCGGGACGAGTTCTGGCTGTGGGAAAAGGGACAAGGAGTCCCTATTATCCCATCATTACAATAGGGGTGCATGGGGGAAAAAAGACCTGCACTGAGTCAAGAAAATTTAGGATGGAATATTGTAAAAAGGTGACAACGTAATTGCATGTGTTTCATCAATCATTTTGAAGGATAGCGTATGAAAAGTTAAGTACTAACTCCATTCACTTGACATTTTAAATTAAAAAAACTGTACAAAAAGTGGGATTGTGTACACTGTACACACTCATCAAACACAAGAATTTGGCAGAAAGTTGCATAAATCATAATTTATGTTTACGATGACATATTTTGAATAGAATAGCATGGGAAAAGTTAAGTGGCATGTCCAGGTTACTTTTTTTTTAGATTATAAGGAAAAAGCTGTCCAAAAAGGGAACATTTAGTACAATCTTCACACACTTAAGGCAGTCTTGCAATCTTTTCTGCACACCAATGACATCCACTGGATTTGTACTCCCGCTGCGGTGGGATTTTTTTTTTTTTTTTGCCACCCAGAAGTACTTGCATGCCAATCGTTAACAAGCCTCATCAAAAGCTATAAAAACGTATTTGCATAAGTGTGCGTACCTTGGTGCCGAGCTGCACCCTGACGTCCACTTGCTGCTTTTTTTGCTCCAGGATGCTGAGCAGGTACTCTTGGAACACGCCGATCCTGGTGAAGAAGTGCTCCTCTTGCCAGCATCCCTCCATGTTGTCAAAGTCCACGCCGAGTCCCAGCAGAAAATCCACGCTGCGTGGGTCCAGGGCGATCTGCTGCGGCCGGCAGAGCAGCGCGCTCCGGTTCCGCTCGTCCAGCACGGTCAACTGCAGCACTTTCCCCGAGCGGACAGCGACCAGGGCGGCCGTCAGCCCCACGGGACCCGAGCCCACGACGAGTACCGAGATGCGGGCGCGCCACCGGCGGACGCCGTCTAGCCCGGCTTTGAGCGCCACGTACACCGCCACCGCCACCACCGTGCTGAGCGCCGTGTCATAGGCGAGGACGCGGAACCTGTCCTCTGCCTCCTCCACGCCGACGTGCTGAGACTTCGCGCCATCCATGACCCGAGGACGCCCGGGCGGCTGTTGTGTCTGGATGAGAGCCAGGAGGAGGGCGGACTCCCTTTCGGTCGCCGGTGGGAGGGTGAAGGCTGTCCCAGGCGGTCAACACTTGTCGCCTGAGACGTGCCATGTGCGTTTTCTCTCTCTCTCTCTCTCTCTCTCTCTCTCTCTCTCTCTCTCTCTCTCTCTCTCTCTCTCTCTCTCTCTCTCTCTCTCTCTCTCTCTCTCTCTCTCTCTCTCTCTCTCTCTCTCTCTCTCTCTCTCTCTCTCTCTCTCTCTCTCACACACACACACACACACATCGTGTGGTCCCGTTTTCACATTTGGACAGTAATAATAAATACACTAAATGTCAGTCTTTCACTCAAAGTGTCTCAAAATACAACAAAAATCTCAGTACTTAAAAATGTCTTCTTTTTTACGTGCGCTACAGGTTTGTGTACATTGAGGCCGCAGGTTAAATTTGACCTGTCAGCGAAAATGAAATTTAGATTTTTCAGTTTAATATCAAATTATGAGAATGGTAATAATGTTGCACTTTCCATTAATGTGTTTTTTTTTGTTTGTTTTTTAGACGGTGGTGACATTCCAAAATGAGTTGGAAACAGTCCTGAGGTCAGTTTTGCTGCCCTTATTTGTAGCTGTGTGTGTTTGAATGCACTGCATGTTTGCACTATGGTTGAGGGGGAAAAGTAATTTCATCTGTGCTGTATGTTGCACAGAGAGCATATTTGACAATAAAGCTTGACTTGGCTTGAGAATTATCAATGTTCTCACCACATTTGCAAAGGTTCCTGCAGAAGAAGTCACACACAAAGTTACAGTAAGCGCTACAGACTACAAGGCTCGAGCTGGAAGCATACCGCAGGAAATAGTTGTTTTTTGGGGGTTTTTTTGGTCAATTTAGTAGAACCTATGCAAAAAGTACTTGATTAGTGTCAAATCTGATACAATTTCAAGAAATGTGGAGAAAATTGTGCAAAAACCCTATATTAGCTGCAAGTTGACGTTTTTAGAGTTTAAGAAATTAAGACAGAAACCACAACATAAATGCAAATTTAGATGTGATTAGGTTGTAATTTAACATGAACATATTGAAGTAGTTCAAGTTGCAATTACTGTATTGTCACGTCCACTATGATGGCATGTGTGACCATTTCTGAGGCTTAAGGACATCAATTTCGTAGCGACCGTTCTGCCGACCTACTGGATTGTTACCATGGTGACAGTCACAGCACTGATTTGTGAATAGAGATGCACTTTTGTCATTTGATGAACACTCTGTCATCAAGTCTCTATCATCGCTTCCCTTCTAGTTGAAATGAAATATGCTACTCACAATCAGAATAAGGCACTTGAAAAAAATGCAGGCGAAAGATTTATATCTTTACATTAATCTTTCCAGAAAGAAGAACACGGAAACAAGGAAAGATAAAATATTAGGTGCAGTATTGTTTCCTGCTGGCATATTCCGTATTTGCAGGGTATCTGGAGAACAAATGTTATCACAGAGGGGTTTTTGTACAGTCCAACACTGTTCAGTAAAACTTTTTGATTGCGTTCAATTTGTTTCAATGGGAAAAGCTGAATTCACAAACAAGTCCATTTCGTCAACTTAAATCAAGGTACCACTATGTCACGTTTGGACTGCTGAGGAGCACAACACATGTCTCTGGTGTGCAGTTGGGTCAAATGAATCAAGTGTGATAACACAGCACACCCAATTGTGTGTACATCACAGACGTTCCAGGTCAGGGTTCTTGTGCACACGTCACTTGGCCCCACTGGACTGCAGCCAAAATATTTCGCTTGCTTAACTCAGGAGCGGATAAATGCCACCATGGCTGAACAGACACAATGACCCACTCCGCAGTGTGCAAACATTTCAGCATTCCCCACTGTTAGAGTAAATCGTTTTCGGACGTCAGCGGAGGAAAATCCGACACCGGCAATTTGCCTGTCAACCTAACCGGGCTCAGGCCGGCGAGGTAATGACGCGCGGAGCAGACGATGCCAGAGCTGTGATGACGCGCACGCATGGCCGACCAGACGACTAGGAACATCAGGAACACTGAATTGCCATGGTTACACACACCGTGTAACAAGGTCAGAGAGTGAGTGACGTCGGATGCTACTATCTCAGGGACGTCCTGGACCGCAGCCATCTGCAGTTGAGAATAACTCATCACTGCATGGGATTAGTATGACGACAGTCTTTTAAAACATGGTGACGGAATTATGTTTGTGTACATTTACAAAGGAGATCTTTTAGCCGGATAAGGATAGCGTCAAAAATCTCAACTGATTTTGTTTTGTAAACTAAAAGGTGTATGAGAAAAATCTGGGAAAAGAGCCTAATCTCGTGAGCATTTGCTCCGAAATTGTTTAAAAACAAACACAAAAAACCCACTCACTTTAATTTTGTGATGATGCCACTGAGAAATCGGATAAAACCCTAATGGCAAGACAATTTAGTAAAACGTTGTACAAAAAAAACACTAAATAGTAGAATATGGAATGACATAATTTCAGTTTTCCTTCAAAAACAAAAGAGATCTCACAAGAGACCAACTGAGAATTTGGTGGGATTTTGGAAAGAAATGCATCAACGAGAAGATATTACTTGAAGATGTTGTTTGAATATCTGTCATTTAAAAAAAAAAAATCTATGTTGTTGAGCAGTTGGTACGATTTTGTACCCCTAAAAAAATCATTAAGAATTATTATGTCATTTGGGGTTGCCTAGAATGTGTGATACACATGACACACAAATTAACGTCAGCTTCTAAATTACAACAAATTATAGAATTTCAATGAAGAAAAAAAAATGTTTATAGCAGTACAACTGTTTTATTTATTTTTTTAACTGTTGCAGTATGTGGTTGGAAAAGAGTGATAATTTTACATGTGTTTTAGATTGTGTAATTTCTGACTAAATTCTCCTGAGCATGTCTGAAAATAAACTCAACAAATGATGCACACACCTGAGTCTGCAGTGGCCAGTGGGTGTAATAAAACTTACACTACATGATCTTCCACTTCAGATAACATGGTGGCTTACAGTAAATGTTAAACAGAAAAGGTTTACTGGAAGAAAAAAAAATCACAGAAATTCGCAGAGGATCCATGATTAAGCATGCTCTGAAAAGACCAACCTGCTGTTATCTATAATGAAAAATGAGATGCTGAGTGAACCACAGATCGTCGTGACGAGTCGGAAGATAAACGTGCAGAGGTGGAGTCGTTTCATCTCTCGAGTCAATTCTGTAACGTGCCATTTTGACATAATCCAGCTGCTTGCAAATTCCCAATGCTTAGTTGCAGCGTGCCATTAAAGAGCGTTATACTCCACACACTTGGATGGATCCGTAGTGAAGTGCTTTTGGCAGATGGTCATCAGCCTCTTTAGGCCCTGCGCGGGAGGAAGGAAATTGTGTCATTTGGCAAGCAGTGAATGAAATGGAAATGTCTGCAGCCATATTCAAGGCTAAAATCTCTTAGAATTTAAAACAGGAAGAATGTTTCACTCATATTCTTAAAGGAGACATAGCACATCTGCCACACACTTTGAAAGTTTTGGGATTTGAATCTTGGCTATGACCTTCCTGTGTGGAGTTTGCATACTATCACCAGGTTTCCTCCGGGCACTCGAGCATCTTCCCACATTCCAAGAAGATGTGCGCAAGGTTCAATAATAACTCGATATTGTCCTGAGGTGCAAATGAGAGTGTGAACGGTTGTTCGTGAAATGTGCCATGCTGTCCCCCGCCTCTCCAGTTCTCCGCCCCCCAACATGAGAACAAGTGCTTTAGAAAATCCATGGATGGATGTCTCACCGGATGACCACAAGTCCCAAAACTGTTGATTTAATTTGACTGTTTGTAACACCGATATGTAAGATAACCAGGATCTGTCCTTAGTCGTGTCACCATTTTCTCACCTGAATATATTTTCTCTGTGTTTCATCGTTGAGAACATGGGCCACGTGCTTGGAGAAGATCTTCTCTCTGCCCGTACGGGCGTGGATGCCCACCATGGTCACGCCGATGGGCCAGGGGGCATTTCCGATGGCCATCTGGAGATACGCGTCGTTTGCCTTGACATATTCTCTCTCCAACATGAATTTGATGATGTCGGTGATGGACTCTTTGATATCAGCTGGTAAATTCTGAGGGGGGAAAAAAAAACTTAGTCTGATTTGAATACTGGGCCTACATTACTGGTCAACAGGGCTGCAAAATATTGAAAATGTTGAAAAAAAATTCAAAATTCCAAAACTTTTCATTGGAATTAATGGATTGGATTTGATGTGAATAAAGTAGTAAATCACTAAATTGAAGGTTGGATCTTAACAGGGAACTTCTATGTCGATATGAAAAATATATGACATGTGACAAGATGAGACGTGGATTCTTTACTGTCAGTATACACACAACCAAAGAGTCACAACTGCAACATCAGCCGGGTTACCTTCTTCCTGAGCTTCCTGAATAAAGGTTTCAGGTACGACTCAGTCTGCGAGTGGGTTGCGCTGGCCAGCTTCCCCTGAACGCTACGCTTCACGTGGTCCTCCCGGCTGTTCAGATCTTTGGCCCACACGCCGAGAAGGAACTGTCGTTGGAACAGAAATGACAGTCAAGTTACTTGACAGAGAGCCATGTGGCAAAGCAGAGCTGTGATTGGCTCCAGTTGTCTTACGCTCAAGAACTTGTCGATGACATCCTGGTCTCCGTCGTCATCGCCTCTGCCCAGAGTTTTGCCAAGAGCCTGTATGGAGGACAAATATGCATTGGACAATATCCAGTGTGGAGCGCTGAGGATGATTAGAGGGCGCACACAGTTTATGGGTCAACATCACAACAGGCGCCTTTGAGACTTACCCCTTTCACCCCCCAAATTTTCCACTGAACTTCATGTTCATTGTAACAGATGTCATGCTGTATGAATGTACAACATAATGGTCAAGCTCTCTTGCTTATTTTTTTTTTCTGTTTATGAATTAACTACAAGTTGACAATGTACATGAAAACAGCCAAACATGAGCTTGCACATTTCAACAAATATATTTCAGCCTTCTGAAAGTTTTTTCAAAAATTTGGCCACTTATAAAAACTCAAAACTGTTGTTCTTCTGCGACATTTTCATGCTAACTGAGGATACCAAAGGCACTTTCTTGTAATTCTGGCTCATTTAGGCTTTCATTTATGATTTTTAAGGATACCCTGTAGAGCTGAACAATCCGGTTCAACTTCACTGACAACTGTGACAAGACTTTTTAAATGACATTGAAGCTATTAAGAAAAAAAAGCTAATCAAAAACAGATACCGGTTAACCAGATCACATGGCTCCAGCCGAGCCAACCATGTGATGAGACTCCTGAACTAAGAAACAGCCTTGGTCTGAAGGTTAGCTCTTTCAAGGCAGCCCGCGTTTCATGCCAAATTTTCCAGAATACGGCAGCGTACCTCCAGTTCTTCGATAGTGGTGTTCTCTTCGTGCACTTTGAGGTCATGTTGCGTGTCCAGTTCTCCCGGCTCTGTCCCGCCGACAATTTCGTTGAGGTATTGCTGGTCGATCTTGTCCATGGCTGCCTTCAGGTCATTTCTCAAACCCTACGTCGCACAGACAGTGAATAGTAGACGCAAGAACAACATGTGATAAACGCAGCTTCTGCTCTTGTGTTGCAGTTGTGCTGTGAGTGTCAATTTTAGTGTAAAGCAGTGGTTCCCAACCACTACACCCAAATTATAGCGAGACCACACATTGCAAGTCTACCACAAATTTCTTCAGCAGAAGTGCAAGCAAACAACTTCGAGATAGTGACAAAGTAAGTGCTTGGCATTTGTTACATATGCTATAGGCATTATGTTGAGGAACTACATTGACTAAGTTTGTCTCCTTCGGGTATCCATAGCAGAAAGATGGCAGCAAAACACGGCAGCCTCCAGTAGGGGAGACACACTCTATGTTAATTTAATTAGCGACTACTTCATATACAATTTCATTTTAAAAATACGTTGCTGTGATAAGAACATATTTTTTTGCATACTATTGAAATTAATGTTGGGGTTTTGAAATAATGAACAGTGCAAAATCAACAAATTTTTACACGCTGTCCCTTTGAAGTTAATTGTTTGCAACATATGATCTTTCCAACTCAGCCACTTATCATGCTGAAAAGGGGATCACACCATTTATGATCCCTTCCAAAAGTTTCTTCCCGTTTATTCTCAAATGGGTTTTTCCTGGCCCGTACAAGGAGTTTCGACCAGGGGGTACAGTTGTTTCCAGTCTATCGGGTCCTTCTGAAGACCTTTGAGACCCATTTGTTGAGTTGTTAAGCGCTGTATGAATAAATTTTACTTGAGTGGCAGCATTCTGTATGTGAAGCTCAACTTTGGCTTGCAACACACAAGGCAAAATCAACCAAGGGGCTGCTCGCAACTGAAAGACTCCTAAGTTGGGTCACAAAGTGGCTTGAGGCCTACCTTGTTTACTTCCGGAGTCAGAATCTCAATCTTACGGAGTCTCTGGAAGGCGTCATAGTCTGACTCTCCGAACAGACGGATTGGCTCACCTCGTTCTCTCAGCCGTCTGATGACCTAATCACACAGACCAATGCAAAAGAAACAGTTGTGTATCAATGAGTGTCTCACTGGGAACCGTCTGAGGATTTGACATTCTACTTGTACTTAATTTGATTATGAAGACATGCTGAGCACACTGGCAAGGTGTACCTGTCTTTCAATGGCTCAAAATAGCTCATTGAAGTCTACTCACTGACTGCCGTTCATTACTAAGGAAACATGCTCTTATAACTCACTCCCCTGTAATGTGTGAATGAAAGTGAAACGAACCCAGTTGAACTCACCTCCTGTCGTGACAGCGTCATTGGCAGCTTCTCTTCCGTCAGTTCCAACTCTAATACGGGATTAGCCGAAATGGATGCCTCATTCTCTTCCTTTTTGTCGATCTTCAAAAGAAAAAAAGGGAATAAACACAGGTTAGTTTGAGAATTGAGGAGCTATTTCAATCTGTTATGAATGGCAGATTCAATTTGGGTAATGTCAGGTGGCAAGAAATTTTGGATCTCAGGATTTCAAAGAGGATGACAGCACAGATTTCCATGCACAAATGACCTGAAACTCATAAGAAAAGAAATCGCTGTAATTCAAACAAAACAAAACTGCATCAAACCAACATTAAGTGCAAGAACACATTTTGTGCATTTTTCCACAATTGAATTGAATTGAATACAACTTTATTGTCAAATGTGCTGTACAAAAATCAACTCATGCAAAATCTTTATATTATTGAGGTACTACGTTTGTCCTGCATGTCATTCCAAATCCACAAAAAAATGCAGTAAACTCAGGCTTGAGTAAAATGCAAGTAAGTTGTGTCTGCTATCTAGTGGTGAATGGTGATATTACAACTTAAAAGTACACAGTAGAACCCCTTTCATAGATGTTTACTTAGCCAACCAAAAACGTGCTACAAAAAACAATGATCAACACTCAATGTACATTTTCCATGAAAATGTGGGATTGTTGCCCCCCCCCCCACCCCCCAAAAAAAAAATTATTGTAAAAAATGTTTTTAAAAAACAACAACTGCAAATTCACTGGAGAGCTGTGTTTACTTCCACCTGCGAATTTACCAGTTTTGGACAGAGTATGAGAGGCCAAACGCAGCCTGTGCCTAACACCCTTAGCCACAGCTCTTCTCTCATGCGATTGACTAACACTGTATAACATAATACCATGTGATGTAATGTTGCCCACTCTGCATCCACTGCAGCCTGGTCATCCTGGAGGTAAGACCCCCTCATTGTTTTTTCCTCTTTATCCCCTAAAGAGGTCTTCTGGGATTATTCCTTGGCTTCAATGGTGACTTTGGAACACAAGTAGCATTGACTTTTAAAAACAGTGGGCTGGTGGTGCGCTGAACAAATTTTTGGTGATGAAAAGCTATATATATTTTTTAATGACATTTAACACCTGAGACACATCATCCAAGCCCCTTTGTCTTGAAAGCACTTACAAACATTGGTAAAACATATCCATTATGAGTTTGAGGATAACTGACAATTAGGAGTAAAATCGATGAAGTGTGACTGAAAATGGAAGGATTAACAAAGACAAATATTTTTGGGCAGCATGGCAAATAAATTCAGCTACAGCCATGACGCATGACTTGCATGCAGTAAGTGGTTTGATTATATTATCGGTTAATTGGTCACTCATTATCCTATATTTTGATTGGTATCACGTTTTTCGTTTGACGATCAGGCATCCATACTCGGTGAGGGCTCTCATTAAACAAAGGTTATCAAAACTTCTTTGATCAAACTGTGTATTTAATATTTTTCAAATGAACTGTGTGTGGACTGATGAGGAGACATTTCAGTGTGGCATGTATTCAAGCCTATTTGTACGAGTAGATTAGAGAAGTTGAGAAAGAATCAGATACATTGGTGAGGTCCTCAATTTGTGTTTGAGGCTCAATTGAAACATATTCAAAGCACATATGGGACAAGAATGATGATGATGATGAACAAGCCCGGTTGAAAAAGTGAAGTAAAATATATGCACCCATGCAGAAAACCACACTTAAGATGTGTCCTGATTTGGCACTGTGGCTTCTGTTCCTTGTTAACTTTTAAATAACATGACACAAGTGCAGGAAGTACGGGGAGCAGGCAAAATTACTGTAGTTACACAACACCATGAAGAACTGAAATCAAATCATTGCAGGTGTCAAAAGGTATCAAGGAAGTAGAAGCAGTAGGACGCACAATGTACATAAAAAAAATAAAAATAAAAAATAAATAAAAAAACACTCTGAATCCACTCATGCAACCTGTCAACTACTTCCTCTGTGCAGACCCATACCTGGCTGTCAGGAGTCTCTCTCTGAACCTACAGATGCAGGTGGCAAGTGAAGGAGAAACAACACAGTGAAGACAAATACAAATACTAAATGCACACCTCAACCTGTCGGTCACCTTCCGGGTGTGTGCGTTGCGTCCGTTTAAGGGTGTCTGTGTGCACCCGAATGGTGGCAAAACACTGAACAGATGTGAGATGTGTTTGTACATTTAAATATAGACAACAATCCACCTTATAGCCGCATCTTTGGAAGTAGTCCTCCTGCTCCTTACGTGAAAGATCGGCCCTTTTGAAGAACTTTTTGGAGTCCTGTTAAAAAAATGAAAAAAAATATGCAATCTGTAAAATTACATGATGGGTAGTATTGCTGCTGAAGATATGACAACTTCTTCAAATTACGTCTTCAGACGGCATTTACTATTAACAATGATCATTTCATCATTGTGAGTAGTGGACCAAAACCTAAAGACATAATACAAGTAAAAGAAAAAACAAGCGCTTCTTGAACAACCGTCAAAAACAAAGTTAGCATTAGCAAAGGAGCTAACTAGCCAACACAAGTGGCTAAGTATATCAACACACTCACATCAACGAGTTGCTTCTCCTCGATGAGTTTCCTCTTTCTCGCGATCTCTGCTTTAAGAATATCCATTCCGGCTATAGAAAAACAAATCGTAATGTTTTATTACGAAAAGCAACGCAGTCTCGTAGTAAACGTGAATTAAACACCTATAGCAGCGGGGTCAAAACAGGAAGCATAACGGAAGGGTTCGTGGAATTCCAGATTAAGAGTCGTTTCGGATATTCGCCTGAATATTTCAGAGTAAAAGTAAACTAATCGCACTGAATTTAAGATGATGGGAAAATGATGTCATCGAAGGCCAGAACTTTGGCCCTGTGACGACAAATTTGAAATCGGATTGACAAAAGGGAACAGTCGCATTGCTAAGATCTAGTATACCGTTCAATTACATAAACCGTCATTACTGATTCTGAAGGCCCGGGGAGATTTAAGGCTACCTCACAGTGGAAGTACTAAGATATTTTGTGCTCACATTTTCAGTTTTTGTGTGGGTATTTTGCACATTTTTTTCTCCGAACCATAGGTCCGAAGAAAGTAAGTGCTGAGCAGAAGAAGTGGATGATGTCCATTGATGCTTGAAATCATAAAAGAATATGCACCAGGTGTGTGTGTGTTATCAGTTTGGTGAAGCAGTATGATTGTTGTACTTCTATGGTATGCACTCGTGAAGCAGAAGTGCATAAATGCTATTGTGCCGGCCAAACGTGATCAAATGATTTTTAAGTTGCATCTCTATGTCCATGAAAAGAGTTTTCAAAAATTCCTTAAGGGATCTAGTTCAGTGAAAGGGGTGTGAAATGAGTGACAACGAAGGGAAAAGTGTTTTTTTTCTTCACATTCTCTTTGACCGTGTTATTGTATGTTAATTTATACAATACAATTGTGTAACAGTGGTCATCCATCCTCCATTTTCTTTTTCTAGTGTCATCACAGCAGCCCTGCCAACCTCGGCGGGGCCCCGAGCCGGCTGCTTATTGCAGGACCAGGAAGCTGAGGCCAGTCTTTAAAGCGGCAAAAGGGCAGCTTCTTCCCCTGCGGACACAAAGGCACTCAGTGCTGAAACCTCAGAAGCCGGAAAAGAGGAAGATTGTGGGAATGCTTCACTCCTACTTTCCGGCTCATCCCAGAGCTCTGTGAAGCAAAATCAGAGTAACACAAGAAATGTCAACAGCACACACCCAATGAAGGCACTCCAGGCCGGTGACCTATAGGTAATGTGTGCGATTTAGATATTTTTAGGCTTCTCAAATGCATTTTTGTTGCGGGCTAAAATCGTAAATACGTTCGCCATCAAAGAGGATGGTGAGAATGGTGAAACACCTTAAATTGCTCGGGATGTCATGGTACACCAAAAACCACGGTTCAATTACTACTTTCGAGTCTTCGCAAAAACAAGACCCAGCCAGCCAGGCACTGCTTTCTGTATGAACAGTGCATGTATTAGTATGTTTTAAAATAATACAAATTTCTTATGTACCTATGGCTAGAAAGTAAAGAGTGGAGAGTCTCTGTCATGAAGAATCATGGGTGCACAGTGATAGGCCTTGGTTAACAACACCTCAAAACGTCCACATTCTCTCCTTTATTCTTGCCCAGTCCCAGTTTTTGTGGCAATTTGCTTCTTTGACAATCATAGTTGCTCAATCGCTTAGTGTGTGGTGAACAATCACCAGCTGGAAGTTTTGTTTGCTCGGTGTGCAGCAGGGCTTAGTTTAAGCACACGGTTTGCTTCACAAACCAAATATATTTTGTGTAAACCGGCACAGATTTATCAATATTTCAAATGAAACACAATAGTAACAATAGTTTTTCAAACATCAATCTTTTCTGTTTAGTGAAGAGCAAACGTGATTGATTGTTTTCTTTTTAAGAAATGAAGGATGCACACAAGCGCTACAGTATCAGTTTGAACAGTCGTGTTTGGATACTGATATTTTTGGCGAGTTTTGAAATCAAGAAAAAAACTGGCAAGCGTTGGCAGACCACATAAAATGACAATGAGAGCTTTGTGTGCACATTTTCAGCTTGACGTCTTTGATCCACTGGTGAAAGGACAGTTCGATTCTCTCCTCTTTCATCTATAACTGCTTCAAACAACAATGTGTATGCAGGAAAAGTGGTTAAGATTGTACGCCCATCTGTGTCTGATATGTTGTGTTGTATTATTTTGTCATTTTATGTTAACTGTTCTGTTGATGGTGGCGCGGGCACCCGCAGCGGCTCCTCTCTCTCCTGTGGTTGAGAGAAAAGACATCTCATCTGTGCTGTATGTTGCACAGAGAGCACATTTGACAATAAAGTTGACTTGAACTAGAACTTGAGTTTAACATCTCTGCTTCATTGATTGCATTTTCAGTCAGAGGTCCGTCTTGCTGAGGATTATGACGTGTTTATCTCCAAGGCTCAGATGGACTCCATCTTAGTCAACTACCGAAAATTGGTGCAAAGTTTTTCATTTGTGGCTCTGACACAAGTCATACTAGAGGCAGTTTTGTCTTTCAACATGTCCTACTGTGTTTACTAGGTGTGTGCCTTCTTTGACAATGACACCCTGGCTAACTCCTTACCAAATGGAAAAAGGAAGAGAGGGCTTAATGACAACCGGAAAGGCCTGGACCAGAATAGTGTAATAAAAGGTAAATTGAGGAAAAATGTCAAAAAGTCCCAACTGGGTTCTTATCCAAAGAAGGCCAACATGAGGTCATGGATACAATATAAACTGATCATGTGAAGTACATATAGGCTCCAAACCCATTGGAATTAACAATTCTCTGTCAACCAATCAACACACAGCAGTGTATCGAGCTCCACTCATACACACCCAGTGCCAATATAGGCCTATTCTCAAATAAAGGCGTAATTTAAACAGATACTTGATACTACGCATTTACATTCACATTTCTAAATTCATTCTTATGCGCAAGCAGTTTTTACAGAGCAATACTGCAGTGAGCAGAGGATAGAAAAGCTGCCCGGCCCATGAGACTGGAATCAGATCCTCCAAGATCAAATCAAACTTGCTAGGCAAAGACTAAAAAGAGGTACGGTAAAACAGGACTTTTGCTGTGTATTGTTGTCAACCAAGAAAGTTGGGGTCATTGAAAAGTCACTTACTAGACTGTCTGATAGCTGTTTTTCAGACGGCTTCACCCACAGATGCTGCAGAAATCTTAAATGGACATTCATCAAGTATGGTTGACATCATATTAACAATTTAATGTAAAATTGTGTTCCTATAATAATTCCCTGTTTTTCATTTAGGGTGCAACAACCACACGGCAACAAAAATGGGAGGGACACTCATAGAAGTGACCAGTGCTGGACCGTGATCAACCGTTTACATTACTGTACTTGAACTGCCTTTTTGTATTTCAATAAAATTTCACCAACCACACTCAAGTCAAAGTTCCACTACTATATTGTGCCTTGTTTGAATGACCTGTTCGAGTAGGCGTGATTTACAGGAAATATGCTGGAGTCCATGTTTACTATTAGATTCTTGCATTTCGAAATGACTCAATTAGTTGATTTGTCTTATTCGTGTCAGCATATTGCACCTGCTGACAACATCACATATTTGGCATCTATAATAAAATATTGTGCTTCATTTCAATGTGCACCCATCAATAAAACTGAATCATAACATGTGTATTAGTTGTGTTGTTGATTTGTTAACCGACTAGGCATATAAATGTCGACAGAGTTATACTTTCTGTCCTTCACCTCAATATTTTAATTCTAATCCAAATATGCTGTGCGTGGGAACTGTAATAAAAATATTTTGTATTTTCCTCCGTGTTTGTTTGGTATTTTAATGAGTTGTTTTGAGTCAGTCATAGAAATCTGGCCTACCTTCCCTTTGATCACAATGTAAATATAACGCACAATTCGGATCCTATTTTTGCCATTTAAAGTCAGCCAAATTATCATACTTATCCTACTAATAATATCACTGTCTTTAAAGTTGTTAGAGGTTATTTTGGACATTGCGCTTGCTTTATATATAGCAGCTCCATCGGTGTCCAGAATGTAAAGTTGTACCTCATCATGTGGTTCTCAATGTGCACCTCGAAATGTCAATAAAGAGTGACACTGTTTTTTGCTCGTAGTTTACGAAACAACGTGGGGAATGAGCATATTTAGTTTCGTGATCGTATTTTGATTAGTATTTTGGATGAAAAGGTTTACAAGTGGAAGTGAAACATCGTGGGTTAAATTGGAGGGAAAACATCAAATTAAAGGTACACACCATGGTAGCGATTAGGTTGCCAGACTCGATGGCTTGTTAAAGGGGATGTTGAAACAGCCACAGTGCAGACAAAGGACCCATGGCGATCGCAATCATTTCCTATTTTAATTTTAGGATAAATATTTCCTCCCAGACAATTAAGTGCAATGCTGATTTTTAAAAATCAAGATATACGACCTTTATACCAATAATTACGAACACATTCCCTACGAAGAGACGCCAAAATGAACAAATGTGCGCCATTTACTATCAGGCACTATCCAAGGACGCCTAATTGAAGGCCCGCTGCGAGCCGCCGTCGTCCCCGCTCTTGTGTCCGGATCTAGCGCTGACTTGACGCTGGTAAGGATCAACCGGACGCTTCAATTAAAGGGGAAATGTGACGCGAATATAACTCCGCTTCGGCACTCAAATTGCAAACGTGGCCGTTGTAAACACCCGTGACGCGCGGATGCGTTACCGGCGTTGCGCTGGTTGCACGCCGGGCGCCGATTTTACGGGGAGCAAAACTGATGTGGCGCACGTCGCATGGCGTTGGATAGCAAAGGGTTAATTTTTTCCACCGCCGACATTTTTGTTCGGCGCTCTAATGGCAACTTTTAAACTTTTTATATCGTGCGGAGCGAGCGTGAGCCTTGCCCCTCCACTTATGTTGTGCTTTTCAAATCACAACTTACACTGGTATTGCATTGTATGTTTGCTGTTGCAAGCAGACCAGAGCAACACTTGGTGCACACAATGCACATTTCCACTTCTTGCACGGCTTGGCGGCTAACTAAAGCTAGCACTGGAATACAATTCGTACTGTACGCTTAAACCCAATAAACGGCTTGGAACGGGCTTTTAATACAATTCTCTTGTATCATGAGTTTTACCTACTGATTTAATAGAGTGAACTATCACCCAGTGAGTTTGTTAACTTGGGTGGATGTTTATGGGTTGAATGAACTTTGCAGGGTTTTGCTTCTGGAACGCTCCCAGTTGGGATTTCCAAAATAGCCTAAAACTCACCTGCCAGGTCTGTCTAATGGCAGTGGTTTAATTGTTTTTCTTTTAGTTATGTGGTGACGTATTGACACTGTCGTACTAGTCGCCTCACGAGACATGGTTTGACTCCACATGTAACGCCTCCTCTCATTGGCCTAGTGGTCGGCAGTAACGAAGTACAAATACTTTGGCACTGTACCGAAGTCGAATTGTGGGAGTGTATGTGAACTTCACTTGAATATTAATGTATTCTTTTGACCACGTTTTACTTAAAGGAGTCGAATCGGTACTCTTTGATTATTTTTGCCACAATCGCTCTCGATACAAAATAAGGCACACTAAGGGATTTACTATATATAAAAAAATCTGTCATTAGTGCAAGGCAGCTTGATTAAAATAGCATATTTCATACACAAGGAAACTGAATGTGCTTCCAAAAACCAAAGGCATAACAGCTTGAATAATTTCCGACAAAAGCTGCTGAACATTCAAAAGAAAACAGAAAACAAGAGTAGTGAACCAAAATTACTCAAAGAAGGAAGAATACAATTGAAATACAAATATTACAATATATTTAAAGACGTTTACACGTTACACAAAAAGGTTGCCTTGAAAAGTTGAAGTATGGCCATTCAAAAAAAAATTTTTTTTTTAATTTTATTCACTGTACGTCCATCTTTTTCAGTTGTTTTGTTCCCACTGTTGTTTATTTAAATGTCATCTTCCTGGTTTTGTGTGTGGTGGCCCAGAGTATCTTCAGACATGTCGGTGAGGGAGTCCTTCAATCCCGAGAGCTACGAGCTGGACAAGAACTTCCGGCTCACGCGCTTCGCAGAACTCAAGGGAACAGGTTGCAAGGTTAGAGCTGTCCTCAAGTGTCACATTTAAAATAATTACATTTACAAGTCCATACATCATCCATGCATTGTAGCCCATAAAATGTTTTGGGTTTTTTTTTCTCTCACAGGTACCCCAAGAGGTTTTACAGAAGCTTTTAGAGAACCTACAAGAGAATCACTACCAAGAAGATGAACAGTTCCTGGGTGCAGTCATGCCTCGATTAGGTCACTGTAACACACAATAACACGTTCAAAGTAAAAATAAATAAGTTAATAATGGTTTGTCATAGTGCAGCAGGAATAAATGTCTTTTTTTCCAGGCATTGGCATGGACACCTGTGTCATTCCGCTAAGACATGGAGGCCTTTCACTCGTCCAGACAACTGATTACATCTATCCTATAGTGGACGACCCCTACATGATGGTATGAATCTGATGATGAGTACCAAATATTTTATCTCATCTCAAAATCTCGTTTAGGTTTGCCCTCATTTTCAATGATGATGAGGGGAAATAATAGGGATGGGAAAATAAAGCTTCTGGATGCTTCATGAACCACTTGCATTTTTTTTTTTACTCGTTTTGATGGCACTGTTGGTTTAAAGAAAGGAGTTTAAGAAATGTCAAGTCAATGTGCTTTAAGTGTGCCCTATGTTGAATGAAGAGATAAACACAACTGATTCATGAAGCATCTTGAAGCTTCATTTTCCCATCAGTAGGACATAATACATTTGTTCTTTTTCTTGAGTATCTAAGTTTTTGTCTTCACCAGTTGCCCATAAGTATTCTGTGACTTTTTCACATATGACAGTCTAGAAAATATTACTCAGATTGCAAGACACAAATTTTACATCTGTACTTTTTTCAGGGTCGCGTGGCATGCGCAAACGTTCTCAGTGACCTGTACGCCATGGGGGTGACGGAATGCGACAACATGTTGATGCTGCTGGGTGTTAGCAACAAAATGTCGGAGAAGGTGAGACGAGGCTGCGTCCTGAGCAAAATGAGTGTCACACTGGCAAGTTTTTTTGCAAGTTTGATGCTTACCTTAGTGTGTCTTCCTTGTTATTACAGGAGAGGGACAAAATCATGCCACTCATCATGCAGGGCTTCAAAGACGCGGCGGAGGAGGCGGGCACATCCGTGACGGGAGGACAGACGGTGCTCAATCCCTGGGTAGTCTTGGGGGGAGTCGCTACCACCGTGTGCCAGCCCAATGAATTCATCATGTGAGTTAATTTGCACAAGCTTTGATGGGGATCAAGCCCAGCGACCAATTGTGAAAATCAGTGATATTGGGCCCTTGCTCACTTTGATTGCAAAGATGGGGAAATGCTCAAATTCAGCCTGATTGTCAATATATGTGAGCTTTTATTCCTTTTTTTTGTTTTTTTTTTAAACAAAGAACATATTGCGTAATGCTCCACAGGCCAGACAACGCGGTGCCAGGAGACGTGCTGGTGCTCACAAAGCCGCTGGGGACGCAAGTAGCCGTGGCGGTGCACCAGTGGCTCGATATCGTACGTTTGAAAAACATTTACAAAGGTGTGTTTTCACATGAAGGTACTGACCACCTGTTGTCTCTCACAGCCGGAGAAGTGGAATAAGATCAAGTTGGTAGTCACACAGGAAGACGTCGAGCTCGCCTACCACGAAGCAATGATGAACATGGCCCGCCTCAATAGGACAGGTATGAAATACATCACCATTTGGGTTCCACCATGGCCAAGTAGCCATCCTACCATCCGTCTTTCACCCATCTATCCGTCCTACTGTACACCATTCTGCTGTCCATCCATCCATCCATCCATCATTACCATCTGTCTGCCTAACATCTATTCAGTTCTGCAATCGCCCATCCATCTCACTGTCATTCTACCATCAATCCATCTGATGAGGGTCCGTCCGTCCATCCATCAGTGATACAATATCTCAGAATTTTAATTGATTTGATTTGAAGAAGAGGGTATTAATTAGTGTGTTGCATTTATGACTAGGCTTTATGGCTTTAGTAGACTGATTAATGACTGTCATGAGTTCTTGTTGTTTGCCCAAACCGCAGCACAATATTGTAAATATAGTGATTTGGGATTTAATCTGTCGTTGGCCATGTTTTTTGCTACTTTAGATTGAACTTGGCCAGTATGTGATTTCCAGCAAGTTTTCTCATCAATTATGACCCTGTGAAATGTATTGTCCTGCACCCTTCCAATTAAAGTACATTCTACTCATGGTTAGCACATCTGAATCTCATTTCTTGAGGTTCTGGGTTCAAGGGTCCACTGTCAATCGTGGTGGACTTTTTGTATAAAGTATGCCCCAAATGTGAAGATCAGTCCTCGTTTTTGTTCCATACAGCCGCCAGCCTCATGCACACGTTCAACGCGCACGCCGCCACTGACATCACGGGCTTCGGCATCCTGGGCCACGCCCAGACACTGGCCAAGCAACAGCGGAGCGAGGTGTCCTTTGTCATCCACAATCTTCCCGTGCTCGCCAAGATGGCCGCCGTGTCCAAGGCATGCGGCAACATGTTCGGCCTCATGCACGGCACCTGCCCCGAGACGTCAGGTATGCAGTTTGTTTTGGAAATGAGGGGTCATAAAAGGTCTTCTGCTGGCCTCCCCCACTTTATTTTCTTTCAAATTGCATCGGTTTTTTAGATAAGAATTTTTTTGTCTTTTTTTCCCCCACATCTTAACCCTCCTGTGTTGTCGCAGGACGAATTTTAAAATTTGACATTCTCGATGTAAATAGACATTGTTTGTGCTGAAATACTGCAAATACAAAGTATGAAGCCTTCTTGTTTTTTCTTTTTTAATGAGATTAAGTAAAAAATCAAACATATAGAAAAATGAGTATCATTCCCTACACATTGTTTTGTTGAACTAAATATGATCAAACAATTCATGTAAATGAGAATAAAACACATGTAACAGTAAAAATGGTTATTACATGTTGAGGCTAGAATGCTATCCCATTTTTAAAAAATGCTCGTTTTCCCGAATGGACTGCAGGAGGGCTGCTGATCTGTCTGCCGCGCGAGCAGGCGGCGCGCTTCTGTGCTGAGATCAAGTCGCCCAAATACGGCGAGGGCCACCAGGCGTGGATCATCGGCATCGTGGAGAAGGGCAACCGCACGGCGCGCATCATCGACAAGCCGCGGATCATTGAGGTGGCGCCGCAGGCCGCTGCGCAGAGTGTTAACCCCACGCCCGGCGCCACGTCCTAATCCCACCAAAACGCTCCCCACCATTATCATCATCATCTTCCTCCTCGCATCCGACGGTGATTTGGTTTTCAAAAAAAAACAAGCAACGACAGAACCATCTCGAAGAGTGTCCACTAGTTTGTGCACTGGGCTGGTGTGTATGTGATGAACAGCTCGACCCAGTGGGCGAAAGTGGCATTACATCCCCCAATGGACTCCACAAATGAAACGGTCATTCATTCGTTTGCCTTTTTTTGTTTTTTTTTCTGTACTGAAGGTGAGAGAAGACAACAGGACCACATTGCTGATGGTTCGTCACGGATCATTGTTTGTCGGTTTTGCCGGAACTTAGAAGCAGTCCTGTGTCTCGTCGTTTCGTTGGTTTTGTTTGTCCACTTTTGTACAGTTATGAAGTTCTTTGCTGTAACTGATGCCTTGAAAGAAAGTGTTAGCAGAATGTCTTTTTTTTCTATTCATTTGACTTTTTGTATTGACCCCGCCGGAATAAATAAATCCTCAAATACTGTACAATGATCTGCTCTATTTTAGTCAGCATACTTCCCTCCTACATGGATCATGCTGACGTCACTTCAATTTTAAACAAGCAGTCAAACCATTGACCTTCAGCTCGAAAAGAACACTTCCCACTGAGCAGAAACCGTTTGCAAGTGTTTGTGAAGGGAGTGAATGTTGATTCTCGTCTGGGTTCGTTCAAGGTTGCAAATGTTTGCAATAATTTTTTTTTTCTCCTTTTTTGTCACAACTGTCGACGACCATTAAAACTGTTGGGAACATCAAGATCCGCTATCCTCACGTTCCCTTCTCAGTGGGATACCGGCTTCTGTACAGCGCGATTCTCTAAAGTGTGGTAAAGTATATTAATACTCCCTCTAGTGGCAAGCAAAAGAATCAATGCCCATGTACAGTTCAATGGGGAAACTACTGTAAGTGTCTAACCGGAAATCACTGGATGCTTTAATTACTGTACAAGGTATCATTTCACAAAAGCAAAATATACAGAGCAATAACTTACAGGAGCGTTCATGGTGTGTGGAATGAGTAGGGCAACATCAGGGAGGACTTCACCAATCATTGCATCCATGTTTCAATTCTTACAACGTGCACACACATATACATACATACATACATACATACATACACACACACACCAGTCTGCTACATGCGCTTCTTGCCGTTGTTAAGCTGCATGACAGACTCGCCTGCTGTCTTGTTGTTGTTTGAGGCCTGGAAAAGCGTTTGGATGTCCATCATGGCTTTGTTGATGTGCTGACCAAATCTCCATGAGTCCTGCTCGCATCACATGAGGAGCCACGAGTGGGAAATTAACAATGGAGGGAGCACAAACGTAGCAACATGACAGGCAAGTCAATGACAAAACCAAGGCACTATTTTAGACCCTGAAAGGACAAGTGTCAGAAATCCCAGCAGAGGGCCTGTTACTAGCTATTGCTGGTGTGTGGCAAGGAGGGGAGTTCCTAGAGATGGCTGATTTGGGTCCACATCAACGGCTTAAGTGGAAACCCTCGTTGGCAACGGCACAGAGGGATTCGAAAATGTCCCTAGTGAGGCCCCGCTACTGGCAGGCTTAGTTTAAATGTCAACTGTATAATAATCTGCTTCAACAATTGACAGAACACATTTTTAGTTTTGTATTTGAGTACATTTCAGAGTCTGGGCTTTTTTATATTTGCTTAAGTAAAGGAATCGGATCAGTACATATACAGTTCCTCTGCCAGTATTTGTACTTCCACTTACAGTTCGTACAGAGGACTTAAGTTACCTACTGGAAAGGAAACATCAGTTAGAGAAAGTGTGTGTGTGTGTGTGTGTGTGTGTGTGAAAGTATGTGGCACAAATGTTTACCGTGTCAGGGCTGGAGAACTTGCTGGAGATGTGGAATGTAATGAGGTTTTCTCCAACAATGATGTAAGACACGCCATAACCGTCATCGGCGACCTATAAAATTATAACAATGATTCAGAATTTATCACACGTTAATTATGATCTTGAAAAATAATTTTGCGACAAAATAGTTGATCCAAAATGAATGCATAATTTATTTCATTAATATTTGTACATGTTTTCTTTTATTACTATGGATTTTGTAGGTCATAACATAAAAGCTGTAACTAACAAAGTACAAATACAAATGTGTACCATTTGTATTTTCTCATGATTGATCTCTCATCCCATGTTATTTATTTCCTGCAAGGGGAAATTTGTCATCTATTTATGGAGGGGTCAGAACGCTTTATTGATCCCGAGAATAAATAATCGCCAAGGATTTCACTCACTGGGCCAAATCCACCTCCAGCCCCGACATAGTTGGGGAACTTATTGATGTCCATCAGGTTGAGCTGCTGCTGAGGAGTCTGACTGGTGGACAACTTCCACGGTTCCGACAGAACCTGCGAGCAAGCACGTGGAGACCTTAGCGACGTTATCATGCGGCTGGAGCGTGCGCGCATTCTCACCTGCTTTAGGAAAGGAGAGTCCACGCCCAAATACTTGGACACGATGTAGAGACAGAAGAGATGTCGGTCAATACCGGAACCGGTCATGGCCAGACGGTACATGTTCTGGTGCTTGTCGGCCGCTTTCTGAAACAACGCCAGCCTCTGCTTGTTCTGTTACGGACACAAGGGGACAAAAGAGGGAAATTAACAGTGGTGGGAGTACTTTTAAGTTTATTGGACAAATGAATGTCTCAAAATACTCAAGGTACATATATATTGAAACTTCGACCTTAAAAAGTATATCTAATTTTTCTGTTGGAATTGCTGTGATTGTTACGTCCCTTCTTGGTTGTCGAAACAAGTTTAGCTTTCTTAGATGATAAATTAGTGGGAGTTATTCAAAACTGTATCATTTTGTATAAAAATAGATGATAGTTGGTAGAAAATATCCATATTTGGTGCCCTACTTAACTTGTTTTTTTTACTACTCATCACTAATACAATGTTGACTTCAATGTCGTCATGCACACTGCTTGTTCCGACATGACTTTGACACCAACGTTCTCGATCTGGTTGTACTTAAGTTCCTACTGTTGCTTGTCGGTCCTCCATGGCTCTGACGAAGGCGACAGCCTCTGAGGTACACGAGCGCACCGTCTCCGTGCGGCCGTCTCTGAACATGCGCGTCATGGACGACTCGTACGTCAAACAGAACTCGCCCTGGTCCTGGCGGTCAGAATCATGACAACAAAGAGGCAATCTATTATCTGTGCTGAAAATCTGAAAGCTAAATTCAAACGGTGTGGACTTCAGTGAAAGGCAGAATGTGAGACTTAATGTTGTAAGAAATGTGGGAGAAAGTAAACGTGTAAAATATCACCTAATTTGGTCATTTCACTGAAAATTGGGCAATCTTACAATGGAAAAATATTTCATTTTGGGAATGTGATAAATGGTTCCCAAGATGTCTGAAAGTTGGCACATTTTGAATCACTGCAGAAACGTGGAAGGAGAAGGTAAATGTGTTAAATCGCACTTCAATTAAGAATCTTTATGTGAATATTATCGTGGACAAAGTGTGGAATTTTTGTGCAGGAGAGTGTGGAAATTATTTCCCAAGCTGTCCTGGTGGTCTATTTTATATCAATGAATGAATCCATCCATCCATCAATCAAATATTATATATATTTGTGAAAGTGAAATGGTTTGAATTGGTCAAAAAATGTGGGAGGAGTGGGTAAATCTCTCAATTTTACAGTGGCAAACGAGTAGAATTTTGGCAATGTGCAACATTATGCACTTGTACAAAAGTTCCCAAGTTGTCTGGAATTAGTTGAATGGGGAAAGACTCAATTCTTTCCTTTTAAATTGTTGAATGTCTCCTTTTCTTTTGTACGTGTAATTCTGGAAGAAGGGGCCATTTACGAAATGTGCAAAATAGTTGAAATGTCCTGAATAAGGTCAACATGTTGACATTGTGATGGTCTGAATTGGTGGAAACATTTAACGACAGCGGATTTTGGCACAAAATTTTGATCGGGTTTTGGTTTGAGTGCTATTAAGCATTCATACAATCATGTTCCTTGTCAGAAAGGTGATTGTCCAAAGGATGATAGGCAGCATACCCTAAATTGTGCCAGCTGCAGGGCCAGCTGAATGAACGCATCCGGGCTGGTCCTGCACTTCTTAATCAAGCCTTTTCCAAAGGCATTAAACAGGTAGGCGAGGAAGTCCACGTCATCGGCTATCTTTTTAGCAGACAGGTACGACGTCTCGATCACATTTTGGCACTACACAAAGAAAGAACAGACACGTTGCAGATTCCAGAACAGCCTGGAATTCTGCCACAAGATTTCACGAGTGGCTGAGTTTCAGCCACTGATTTTAAGGATTTCAGATTTGAAAGAAAAAAAGAGAAAGAAAGCTGGAATACAAGAGCGCACTGACACTGGTGCTGTACCTCCTTGGCAATATGCCACTGGAGTCGAGATGGCTGAGGAAGACATTTGTTCACGTCTCCCTTGCAGTGGCCCTCCTCTGTGTAGCCCAGATGGAAGCAGTCGGTGGCAATGATGTACTACATAAACACACACACACACACACACACACACACACGCACACACGCACACACGCACACACGCGCGCGCACACACACACACACACACACGCACACATACACACGCACGCACGCACGCACACACGTCTCATATGAATAAACTCACCACATCAAATTAATGATTGGCGGTCAAGAGAGGGTGAATTACCTCCCACATGTGTCCCACAATGGGCGCGTCGGCCCACGAATGTTCAGCGTTGATTCCCATTTTGCCATTGGGGTAAGATATGAGGGTGAAAGATTTGTCAAACCACCTAAGAGAACAGACGTGTATGATGGTTGTTTTATTAGGTATGCCTGTGTATTGAGTTTATCAATCATTAATATGATTTAGGAATTGCATGTTTTCAATTAATTATTTTAGAAAATATTTATTTGTATTCCAATTTTTTTTCCATTTTTTTAGGACTTTAGCATGTTTTTATTTGATTGTCATTTTGGGGTGAATTTAATAATTGTAATCGAGAGAAATCACAGGATTCAAACAAATCACTCCCTTTTTTGTTTTACATTCTTTTGTGTAGATTTTAATGTTTCTTAAACTTGGCCAATTATTTGTATCACACATTACAGAAAATGTATAATCCTAGTAAAAAGTACCTGTATACCATTCAATGCTACTTCATTGTTGAATTGAAAGAAGAAATTAACATGATCAACTGTATATATTTTTTAAAGATTTGAATTGTATTATTTCATTAAAAATATTTTCAGTATTATTTTAGTAAAATAATATTGGTGTATTTTCTTGTTAATCTTGAAAAAAATTACTTTTCAGATTCTTTTCTATTATTTTATTTACATTTTATTTTCTTTCGATTTTTCATAGTCAATGCTGTATTTCTATATTGGAAGCATCATTGAACTTCCATTCATCCATTTTTGATGCTGCTTACTACTTATGCTGTAACTGTTAATTATGTAACGACAG